GCACCTTGTTTTCTATTTGAAAAAAATGTACAAATAAATGTATTCTCTGCTTTTCCTTCTCTAGCTTTTTGTTTTAATGAAGAATTTCTCCACTTAATAAACATAATTAATATTTGTTAAGTATTTCATTACTTGTATATGTAGGTGGTTCGTTTGCGGCTGAGGCAAAAACTGTGGGAGATGGACATTGCAAGTCTAATGAAGACTGTCAAAAGATTTGTGAGAATCCAGTCCCAAAAGACTATTGCGATCCAAGGACTCAACTATGTGTTTGTCATGCAAATGCTAGCCTAAAAAAAAATCAAAGTTTGAAATGGTGAATGAACAAACCATTTCTTCGATGAAATAGGCCGCTATATCTTCTTAATTTTAATAAGAGTGTGGTTAAATACCCACAAAAAATTAATACAATCAACTATTTGAAGTACTTGATCTTTATTTGTTTGTTACAATTAAACACATATTATGACAATTTCAGTGCAACTGAGACCTAAGTAGGTTAATTACTTCTCTCAAATGGTTGAATCCCCAACCCCAAGGGTCCTCATATTCAGACCTGACAGAGCATTTGAGAGAATTTAAATCACGGTGATTCAATGGCTCAGCAAACAGGGCCATAGCTGGTTAAAATTAGATAATTGAAGGACCATGGATATTTAACTTATACCATGGATGGTAACAATTTGAAAGTCAAAGAACCATGATTCATAGATGGTCAATTTAAAAGTTTATGATTAACGTGGCAAAATTCATATATTCGGAGAACTTCAGATGGTATTAAGTCTAGTATTAAATATTAAAAAAATATTTAAAAAAAAAAAAAAACACGAAGACAACCATCAGTGTCTCCTTTATCAAAATCAGTTGTGGATGCAACTATAGTATGCGGTTGCCTTTGTTGATCTTGGCATAAGTCCTCCATTCATTTAAAAAAAAAAAAAAATTATAAAGATGCAAGAAGTTATGGATGCCTCTTTCGAATAGAGTAAATACCTAAAATGGTCCCTCGACTATAGCTAAATTCACAAATTGGTCATTGACTTTCAATTTTAACCAATTAAGTCCTAACTTTGTAATTTTAACACGATTTGGTCCTCCATCCATTTGACGGTTTGTTGACTGTGATTTTTGAGGATATATATGTAATTTCATGGTCCATCGTCGATTTTTTAAGGTTCCGGTTGTATTTTCAGACCGCACTGTTACATTTGGATTCACCGCCGAAAGCAATCTGCCAAATCTTGTCGCCTTTCTTCATCCTCCCTTTGGATTCAATGTAGTTGAGTTCGTACCAGAGTGAAGAAGACAACGTGTTTCCAAACCGGTGCAGCGTCAACCTGGAGGCCTACATGTGCTCCGATGAGAGCTACAGATTCTTCTGCAGATTGTCGATGACAGTGCGGGCACGGGCGTTAATGCAGAAGTGTTCGAAGGACCAAATCGTGTTAAAATTGTAAAGTTAAGGACTTAATTAATTAAAATTGAAAGTCGAGGACCAACTTTTAAATTTAGCTATAGTTGAGGGACCATTTGAGTATTTACTCTTTTGAATATTTGGACCAAGAGGGAGTAAAATTACATCCACATCAATCTTTGTATCATCCTCCATCTATGCATTTTTTTTAAAAAAAATTACCGTAAAATTAACAAATAGATTTGAAGAAAGAGGTAGACATCATTCATCATCCTTGATGGAAAAATAAGAACCGATGCTACCTTCTTTTTTATCAAGGTCGACAGTTGACAAAAGAGGGAATTGAAGGAGGCAAAGGCCATCTCCGACCTCTATCTAGAGATGAAGATAACATTTTTTAGCTCTGTCTATATCTATTCTTCTTAATAATATTTTGAATATTTATTATTTTATTATATTAAAGGATGACATGACAACGATAATGTCATTGATAGTTGACATGGAGTATGTAACATGACTATATATAATAATAAGTTAATCTCCACCAATAAAAAATTAATAATTTCTTGAATAATAAGTTAATAACGCAAAAATACTATGTGATGAAGCGATAATGACAAAAAATGTCATGCAATGCAATTTTAGTCCCTCACAACTCTTCAAGAAATTAAATTTGCATTTTTAACTCCTACAACAATAAAACTATTAAAATTTTACTTACGTTGATATTTTAAAATGTTATTATCTTTGTTCTTTATAACATTTTCAATTTTGGCATTTCATTTACAAATTAGAAAATTAACAATCTTCTTCTCTAAATGTATCATTTTCAATTGTGTCACATCGTCCCTATTTTTCCTACACGATTATGCTAAAATCATGTTATTTATTTTACAAATGAAATATCGAGACTTAACAAGATTATTATTAAAGACAAAACATTAAAAAAGTACATTAAAATATGTGTACTAAATATATTTTTAATAGAGTAATAGTTTTGTTACTCCATGGGTTAAAACTGTAACGTTTTTGAAGAGTTAGCAATGTATATTGCAACGGTTAAAAATTAATGCGCGGTCCGTAGGCAGAGAGAAACAACAGAAGAAATGCGCGGTTAGACGCGTTCCATGCACATACAATACCCAGTCAGAAGAAATGCACAGTTAGACGCGTTCCATGCACATACAATACCCAGTCAGAAGAAATGCACAGTTAGACGCGTTCCATGCACATACAATACCCAGTCAGTGCACGCGCCGACTAACACGTTAACGAGGTTGATTTTTTTTTCTTTTTGCACTAGATTTGCTTTTTCCTTTCTCCCCTCTTTTTTTTTTTTTTTTTTCTCTCTCCCTCCTCTTGCTCACCTAATTTGGCACCTCAAAAGCCACAAAAATCCTACTACTATTGAGGTTGCTCTTAACATTGTATGAATTGCCAAAATGGCAATGGCAATGACATGGCATCTTTGTCGCATAATATCTTTCAATTTTGAAAGATGACATAACATTCATAATAAGAAAAAAGAGAAGTTAAAATTTAAAATTCACCATTCATTGCGACACTAACAAGGATTGTCAATATATTTGTATAAGACCATCCTTTTAACAATTTGTTAAGATTAAAGATGAGTGCAAGTCACGTAAGATCACGCACTCTAGATTGGATCTTGAAATAATTAAGAAAAATGTCAAATAAGCTACCAAAGTTTTACAATTTGTGTAATTAAAATACCCAAAAAAGTGCAATTAAAACATCCCACAACAACCAAAAAAAAACACTATGGAATTAGCATTACTTTCCAGTAAACAAGTTTTCAGTAACATGATGACATAGCAAAATATTTGGCACATAAAGCAACTTTTTAAAAAACATTAATGAATTGTAAATTGTAAATTTAATATATTATTATTAATTTTTTATTTTTTATTTATCATAAAAAATAAAAAATAAAAAATAAAAAATCATAGACTCAAAAGGAAGAGGGAGACATCTCCTTCTCCATCAAGGTTAACAACGAAGGAAGGTAAGAGGCAAGTCAGACAGCTACCACCTTGAAGTAATTTGATACATCAATACCACATATATATATATATATATATATATATATATATATATATATATATATATATATATATATATCTCCATATTTGCACCTAGCCTGTGCACAACCCGACCCATCCGTTCAAACCGACCGACCCGACGACCGAGAGAGACCAACACGGAATGACCCGAACCCGACTCTCATTACTCGATCCGCCATGCAATACGGCGTCGGTTTAGAAGGTTCGGGTGGGGTATACAATTTTGCCAACCGACCCGTCCGAATACCCGAACTATGCTAGGGTTCCCTAAGGCTTTGTATTAAACGGCGCCGTTCCATCAATGTATATATATATGCCTTCGAACACTTGGTCTTCATTATCTCATCTGCGCAGCTGACCTAGGGTTTGAGATCTGAGATCGCATCTCTCATTCTCTCGACTCTCAACTCTCTCAGACTCTCAACTCTCTCAGACTCTCACTCTCTCAGTCTCTCAGACTCTCAGAGTCTCACTCTCTCAGAGACTCAGAGTCTCAGACTCTCAGTCTCTCAGAGTCTCAGTTCTCTCAAGACTCATCAGTCATCTCTGATTCTGTAAATCCGTAAGGTAAATCTCTAATCTCTTAATCTCTAATATCTTAGTCTCTATTTCTCTAATCTCTAATCTCTTACAGTCTTACTCTCTAATCTGTAATCTCTAAATCTCTAATCTCTTAATCTCTATTGTCTAATCTCAGGGTTCTCAGAATCGAAGCGTTACAATCTCTAATCTCTAATCTCTTACTCTCTGTCTCTGTCTCTCTGAGAGTCTAAGTGGTGGAAGCCGTGGTGAACTGGTGATTAGAAGCCCTTGTTCTCCGGGGATTATTTGGGAGAAATCAAGTAAATCGTAAACCCTAGTTTATATTAAGAAAATGTTTGTGACTTTGTGTTATATTATACATTATGATGATATGTGGTGAATATTTTGAGAAAGCAGTGTGAAATCGAAAACCCTAGTTTTATATATCTTCATGACTTCATTTATGTGAGATACTGAGATGTATTGTGTTCTGTCTTTTCTACAATGAGTCTGTGATGAATATTTGGTGATATATTCATATATTATGCTATTTGTTGGTGGAAGCCTTTTACAAACTAATTTCTAAGTGTTGATTTTGTGAAATCTGAATTTTATTCCATGCAAATTTGTAATCTACCAATCCGAGTTAAAGGCTAAAATGTGAAATCTCCAGTGTGTGAATTTCCATTTATTGGTGGAAGCCCTTAACTCAAATCCAGATAATGATGATCTAGACTGAGTTCCTGAATCTGGATTTGTTTGTATAATTGTATATGTTATTATGTCTATCAGTTTATGGATGTATGACCCTTAATTGCTAATTGTTAAACCTGGAAAAATGATGACACAAACTACTATGTCCATGTGTCTGATTCTGGATATCTTTGTATGTTTAATTGTTTATTATGTAATTTATGTGGTAGTTTTAGTGTTAATGTGTTATGTCACACTCACACAAACTGAAAAGTGAAAACTGGTACCCATCTTTGTAGATGGAAAGTGCCACTCAAATGACTCAATCTGGACTTCCACCCTCAACTGAGGAGGGGCCTGGAGGAGCAACCCAAGGCACTGAGACAAATGCTCCTCAGCAGCCTGAGGTTAATCCTGCTGTTCCTGCACAGAAGAGGAAGAATGTGGAGTCTAGATCTAAGGTCTGGGAACATTTTGAAAAGATATATGATTCTGAAAACAAAGTAGTAAAGGGGAAATGTATATACTGTGCTAAAGTCTATCACTGTGAGAGTAAAAAGCATGGTACTACCTCTTTAAGAAATCATATGTTGGCTTGTCTAAAAAATCCACATTCTAAGGAGACTAGGCAGTCACTGCTTACTTTCACTGCTATGACAACATTTGATACTCAAGGGGGTGGGGGTTCTGAAGGGGTTGTTGGGGAGTTAGGGACTTGGGTTTTCAATCAGGAAGCCATTAGGAGGGCATTATGTGAGATGATAATTATTGATGAGCTTCCATTTAGGTTTGTGGAGGGGCAAGGTTTTAAAAGGTTTATTTTGGTTGCTTGCCCTAGATTTTGTATACCTTCTAGGTGGACAATTTCAAGGGACATTTACCAAATTTACCTTGATGAAAGATTAAACCTCAAGAAGCTGTTTAGACTTAACACTCAAAGGGTCAGTTTGACAACTGATACCTGGACCTCTGTGCAGAGGATCAATTATATGTGCATTACAGCCCATTTCATAGATGATCAGTGGAAGCTGAATAAGAAAATCATATCCTTTGTCCCTATTTCTTCTCACAAGGGTGAGCATATAGCCAAGGCATAAGAGAGTTGTTTGATTGACTGGGGGATTAGGAATGTTTTTTCTGTCACTGTTGATAATGCTTCTTCCAATGATACTGCTATTAGTTTTTTTAAGTCCAAATTGTTGTCATGGGGTGCAACCACTGTTAGGAGTAAGTACATTCACATGAGGTGCATAGCCCACATTTTAAACTTGGTGGTCCAGGATGGGTTAAGGTTTGCAGATAGTTCTGTTAAGAAGGTGAGGGATTCTGTTAGATGGATGAGGAACTCACCTGCAAGACTCAAAAAATTCAGAGATCTTGCAGAACTGCTTGGGGTGGAAGCCAAAAGTTCTTTACAACTAGATGTTCCAACAAGATGGAACAGCACCTACATGATGCTTAGCACTGCCATACAATACAAGGCTGTGTTTGATGCATATTCATTGAATGAGCCCTCATTTGTTGCTGATCTGGGTGATTCTGTCCCTTCTTTTCTTGACTGGACTTCTGTTGAATGCTTGGTAGTTCTGTTGAAAGGGTTTTATGAGATGACAATTAGAATCTCTGGTTCTCTATATGTCACCTCTAACAGTTTCTTCAGTGAGATATCTGATTTGAGTTGCATGTTGAGTAGCATGATTGTTGCTGGTAGTGCTACAGAGGTAATAATTTTATATTTTTATCATTTTCAGTGGTTAATCTGATTATTTATGATTTTGTGTATGGCTGTTTGTATTTAATTCAATGTTTTCTTAGGTTATGGGATCCCAAATGAAAAATAAATTTGAAAAGTATTGGGGAGATCCTGAAAAAATGAATTCCTTGATCTTCTTTGCAAATATCTTGGACCCAAGAGATAAGTTGGAATATATGCCATACCAGTTTGAGGAACTGTATGGTAAAGAGAATGGGAAGAAGTGTTTAGAGAATGTCCAAGCTGCCATGGTAGAATTGTTTGGTGACTATGCAGCAACCTACTCTGTCAATGTGCAACAATCATCTTCTGATTCATCTTCTGGTAGCCAACCAGATGTGCCTCCTGTCCAGTCTCATGCCACAATTGGTAGACCTCAAAATATGTTAAAGAACAAACTAAAAAGGCAAAAATTGGAGGCTAGTGGAAGCTATAAAGAAACAGAACTTCAGGTTTATTTAAGTGAAAAAATTGTGGAGGACACTCCTGACTTTGATATCCTTAGGTGGTGGAAGCTAAATAGTGAGAGGTTTCCTACTCTCTCCAAAATGGCAAGGGATATCCTAGCAGTTCCTATTTCCACTGTTGCCTCAGAAAGTACATTTAGTACTAGTGGGAGGGTTTTAGATGCATTTAGGAGTTCTTTAACTCCTAAAATTGTGGAGGCCTTAGTATGTGCACAAGACTGGATGAGGTTACCAAATCAACCAGTTAAGGTTGAGGAAAATATTGATGATGTTGAAAAGCTTGAACAAGGTAATTTCTTTAAATGTTACATTTTGTTTTTAAATCTTTAACTTTGCATTTCAAATTAAAATTCTAACTTTGCACTTTGCACTTTGCAGATTTGGCTACTGGAGTAAGTCGATTTGGTACCACAGGATCTGGTGCTGCTGGTTTTCCCCTTCCTACCATTCCTGTAATGTTTTATTTACACTTACTTTTGATTTTAATTCCAATTGTTGGATTTGTTGCTTCCTATGGATTAATGGCTTGGTAACTAACTAACAATTCAATTGTTGGATTTGTTGCTGCCTATGATAAGTATGAGTGTATGACCCCAGCAGTATAGCCTTACTGCCTATATGAATGTCATCTCATGATTCTCATCTGGACATCTGGTAATAACAGTCACTCTACCTTAGTCCCTTATTCTCAAATCTCAAGTGCTCAGTAATCAGTATGTTATTTCTCTTTAGTCTTTACTGATTTGGCTATGATGATGCTTCCACCATTGTCTGAAATGGTTTTGGGATGGTATGTTGCTCATTAGTTTTGGTTTGCATAATTGCATTCCAATACTAAAAGTAGCAATTTGCCCCCAATCTTACTTTGACATGAAAACATAGCAATCTGAGGCTTCCATAGTTAAATTTTTCTGCCCAACAGCCCCAATCCCCAAAGTATTTAATATGTTATATTTAACTTGTACAGGAAGATCAAGAAAGCTGAACTGCTGAAGGCTGAATAGACAATACATTATGATTATTGTATTTTTGTTCACAGGAAGATGTTGATTGGTGCAGTTGCAGTTTGCTGAATGCTCAATTGCTGAATAGATAATACATTATGCTTATTTTTTGTTATCAGTTTATCATGATTGATGATTCAATGACTTTGTTTATCATTTTGTATTTTTGTCATTTGTAAGTACTAAGTAGTTGTAACTAACTAAGTAAGTACTTTGACAGTTTGACAGTTTGAAATCCATGATATGAAATTTTACTTAGTTTTTTTTTAAAAAAAAATTGTTGAATATGAAATCCGAACAAACCCGAAGTTACATCCGAACCGTCCGATATCCGAACCAACTTAACCCGAATGGAGTATAGTACAAAAAAAAGTCGGATAGGATATTAATTTAGAAAACCGAAATCCGAACGGGTGGACTAGTCCGACACCCGAACCGTCCGAACCCGAACCGTGCACAGGCCTATTTGCACCAACATTTCCAAATCAGCCACTTAATATACCAACTTAACATTTTGACTGGTTCTCAGTGGGAGAGACCGGCTAACAATGCTAATTGCACTAAATTTTGGTGTTAGATAATTCAATTGTTCATGTTTTTAGTTCAGTAGTCCAATTTCACAAACCACAAAAGTTCTATGACATATTTGACGTTTTAAAAAAATAAAAAATAATTACTATCCAAGTCATATGAAATTGGAAAGTGCATACAACTCTTAAGTGGTTTCATCTCCGGGCTAGAGAAAGAAAGATCAAAGATAAGTAGAATTTTACAATCTGGGAATTAGTCTGCAAAAATGGCTCATGAGACAAACAGTCATAAACCAACACATAAAATGAAGTAATTAACCAACAGCTCCAGATTGATTTATCAACAGATATTCACATGGTTTCCTATGTCTAACCTCTACCAAATCTAATACACACAAAAGACAATGCATATCAATATATCATAACAATCTAGTACAAAGAACCAAGCATTAGACAATCAGTTTCATGAATGCTGAGATTCAAAGGGAACAAAAACAAGAATTCTTATAAGAAATGGCAAATGTTGAGATGAAGTAGAAGAGAATAATACCGGTAGTTGAAGAAGACGGGGAGAAGCTTTCTCCCTATCTTTATCTCAAGAGGATAGGGATAAGCCTTCCACTCATTCCTCTCCCACCATCTATAAAAAGGTTCAATGCTAACATCTGTGAATAAGGAATCAACTGCTGCATTGGTCACACAGAATTATCAACATATACACAACTCTGGTGCAATGGGCTAAATCAGTTTGTAAATTCTGATGGCATGTGTTATACCCCAATAAAAGAGTATGAAAACTACAAATTTAATTAGCCAGTGCTGGAGAAGTGTATTAGAATATGAAATGCAGACCACTACACTAATTACCCCTAAGGATACACCCTGCAGTTGCTAGACATTTTATGCTTCCAAGCTTCAGGGTAAAGTACAGATAGAGAACTGTTGGAAGCAGGAAAAACCGAGACTTTCATTCCTCACTTGAAAATTGGTTGAACATATGGACATATAGTACACATTGTCTTCTTGTCTAAATATATTTTAATCCCGAAATATATTGTTGTCTGGATATCAGATACTGAGCTAAAGAATATACAACTCCAAGGAGCCCCAATATCTTGACCTTGATGATATCTGTCATCAAAACTGATGGTAGATTAAGGGGTATTGTCAGCAAAGGCAGTGTATCGGCCTGCTTAGTGTAGCTCCAAACAAAGCGATTGAAAAGGATATGGCTTGGAAATGTAAGAACAAGGAGTGCTAAATTCTTAACAGCGAAAAACCAAATTGGTCCACCAATTTCCAAACCCCAGCCCTCATTTCCATGCCATGATTCTTCCCATATACTATAAAGGGCTGTTAATACCAGGTAGAATGAGATGGCAACTGTAACAGGGAAGTACCTCTGCTTGTCCCCAAATCCAGCAACAAAATCAGAGTCCTGATTAATGAGGAGCAAGATGGGTGCCAAGAAGAATATAGCACGGTTTGACCCACCAGTGAGATTGACATTTAAGATCAGGCATATTGCAAAGCACATAATTGTGGCAACATTGCCAACTGCAGGCATCCAGGCACCCTCGGCAGCCATCCTCTTTATTGTAAAGCTAGTAACAGTTGAAGCCCGGCGGTGCTGCATGAACCTCAATCTTGGGGTGACAGTGGCAGAGCTGCTCTGACTAGACTGGCTATGTCTTAATCCACCCCCTTCTGCTTTTTCTCGCATGAGTGAAGCCAGTTCAAACTTCACCTCAAGAGCTATAAGCATTAGGATTGCAGCATATAAGCCAAGAAGAGATGTCCTTGCACCTTCAACTGCCAAATATGTTGCCAGCTTGCTGTCTTCCTCCCCCACATCCAACACTCCATCGTCTCCAAGCATGTTTTTGTTTATTCTCACCTGGCCTTCCAACAAATAAGTGACTGGAAAAAGGGCCACGAGCAAAGCAAATATCCATGGGAGGAGCTTTGGACTCGAAGCGGATGGAAAATGGGTAAAGACCACAAATACAGATGTACAGACCATGGTAACTACAATAAGTGCATGCAGGACTGCCGCCTGAAGAAAATATTCTGCAGATATGTAGATTCCAAGAGCAATTCCCATAGCAATGGCATAGAAAGTTCTTAATTCAACAATGTACTTTATGGGTATGATTGAGGTAATGGCAGCCAGTGTGAGTAGGATTGCCACTATAAGCAACCATGATGGCCATGTTGGCTTTGATGCAAAGAAACCATAAATGGAAATGTCATCCGCAGATTGACGGGCAGCTTTAATGAAATCAGAGCGGTAATTCAATGACAACGGGATAGGCGGCTGCATCAAAATAAACAACAGGCCCGTAGCTAACACCAGCACCAAGCATCTCTTGGCGGACTGCACAAAAAAGAAAAAGGATACTCCCAGTTAATATGAATTATGGAGAAAAAGATAAGGATGGAAATAACAAGATATTTTCAGGACACTTCACTTCCAAAAGATGGGGGTATTAGTGTCAGATTGTCAGTAAGCTATAATGTTTGCAAGTTCACTTGACAAAAGTATGAAGAGAAGAGAACAATGAATTATTAGAATCCCAATGAAAGGCGAGCAATTTCATCCAAGTATACGAGTACGGTCCATTGCTCTTTCCTTGAAAGAGCACAGATTCTATAGTGTTTGAGTCAATGATAGAGAATATGGAATATTCAATTGAGAGCAGTATAGTGTTTATAAACAATGGTGCTGTGTCAATGTGCCATAGAAATTTTAAGAATGACAAAAATGAAAATAAAAGAACACTCCCCACCCCAGTCACAAATACTTATATATAAATTGATAAATAAATAGGAAAAACAAACAAAAGCTTTAGAACTTAATACCATAACATGGGAGAAATGGAGCACAACTATGGGCAGACAAGCCAATCCTGTCAATAGAATACAGGAACCTAAAATCAAACCATCAGACGGAGGTCTGCCATTCCACCACTGAAGAGCTTCAAATATTGTTTCACAACAGAACCATACTGATAAAGCAACCACCACAGCATGCACATAACCTTGCCAAGGCTTCATCTTTGAGGCAGGTCTTGACTTGTCCCTGAAATGTTAGCAGTTTAACTATCTTCAAAAAAATCATTTAAACTGCGTATTGGAAGAGGGGGGAATAAAATCGTGAGAAAAATGAATAAATATCACACTCACTGAGACACTGAGTACCTATAAAGAAGTACTGGAGGAGTAACAGCAAGAGAAAGAATAGCTGATGCCCACAAAACAGTCCTTGATGATATGAAAAGCATGGACAGCTTTGAGAAATAAAGGCAAGTTAGAACCCAGACTGCCTTCTGTCCAATTCGATTGTCCACAAGCAGCCTCCTAACAATTGCTAAACCCAAAAAAGTAGTCATGAAAACCATATAACTTGGATACATCACATCATTCTCCATCCCATAATAGTATATGTTGGAGTAACTAAAAAACTGGTTTTCAATGTGGCATAGCAGCAATGCATGGCTGATCAAACCAAACTCAGTTAAAAATCGAAATTTCGGAGGGAGGATAGCTAGACCAGGAATAGTCATTGCCAAGATAACACAACCAACAATAAGCTTGCAGAAGGACTTTAAAGACATGCCAGCCAGCCAAATATTCAGACCCCAATAATTGTGCATCACAAACCATGCAAACATCAAGCTCCCAAGTGCAACAAATGCAAAGTATGATGAAGCACTCTTTTTTGTAAAAAACCTAGCCAAACAAAATCCAGCAATTGATGGTAATGGAATAAACTGCAAAAACAAGAAAAGAACTGTTTTCAATAAACAGAATAGGTAAAAGAATTGAAAAAAAGAAGGGAAAGAAACTAGCAAAATGTAAGAGTTATTTTGAGTCATTTTAAGGAACAAGTTGTTGCAGAATAATAAATTAACATAACAGTGGGAACCACAAGGCTTCTATCTCTCTTCTACCCTATTAGTTACCTCATATCTAATTTTTGTCATTCAATCAACAATTATATTGATAGATGATCATTTCTAACAGTTTCATAATATTATATCTTGAATTTCATATGCTATGAATGGGAAACCTTTGGAGGCCAGTTGGAAAGTTTGAATGGACTACATATCTTTGCATTGGGATGCAGGTGAGGGTACAGATCATATGTTTGCTTTAAATATAGTTTTAATCCTTTCTAGGTGTAGCACAACATTTTTTACCAATACCCAGTATAGCATTGGATTGTTGACAATAATAAAAAAGAAGATAAATATTCTGAGAAACATATAAAAACAATTTTATGCTCATAAAGCTGGCTAATTTATATTAAAAAATATATATATATATATATATATATATATATATATATATATATATATATATATATATATATATATATGGATGATAAGCACCAAACTAGTAAACATGGCCAACTGAAGCGTCCTGTGAACACTGCAGCTCAGAAGCGAAACTTGTGGAAGATTTATTAGTTGTAATTAACATCAAAAGACAAAAAAATCATCATGAATCTAGAACTAGAGAGGTATCAAGAAAAGCACAATTAAGATAAGCTACAGAACATAAAATGCATACCAGTACAGGAAATCCTATTACAATAGCTCCAGCTGCACTCACGATAACACCCACAACGGTGAATGCTAATGAAGAAAAAGCATCAGAGATCATCCCAAGAGCATAAGCAGCTGCTGCTGCTGCCCCTCCAAGCATTGAAATGGTGACAAGCAAGTAATTTAATGGCGGTGGCACCTGAATGTATCTCCCAAATGAATGGAAAACAACTCTAGCCTCCAGGCAAATTACAACAATAACCAAAGCAATAGAACCATTCACCATGCGAATGCTCTGCAACTGGTGGTCATTCTTAGTGACCCACCACAGAGCCCCTCTAGTGGAGGCATACAATTGAAATAAAAAGGGGATGAAGAAAAGAAGAAACAAATCACAAACAGCAGCACTGGAGGAGAACATAACCGAATAATGTGAGGCAATATGAAACATCAGAGGTAAGAACAAAAGGTTCAGGGTGTGCAAACAACTCTCGAGCTGACCAAGGATTAGACTGTCATTTGGAACCTCTCCGCCATGGTAACTCACTTCTTGCTTCATCTTGAATGATGATACACGGGGAATCGAGAAAAGCCAATAGAATATGCAATTAAATATCATGAGATAATAAGCCGCATTGATCATACCAACTGCGGAGACTGTTGCCCACGTGAAAATGGTGGAAGCTATTACCGGAATACAGGCAAATAAAAGCCGCTCAAGAGCCATCACAATGGTAGGATTTTCTATCTGAATCCACTTGAATTGCAGCGAAGCCCAAACTCCAATCAGGAAATTGACTAGAGCACAAACCGAGGTGGCAAGAAGGCCGAGAGCAATGGAATTGAAGGTGACAGTAAGTGAGGAGCTGAAGAAGAAAGCAATCTGAGCGAAGATGAGGGAGAACCAAACCGCGAAAAATGAAGCCGACTTCAAATTGAGAGAATCAAGGATGTAGGCCGCCATGAGGCCGAAAGTGATGGTGGCGATCACGGGAGTACCGCCGAGGTCAAGGAGGAAGGCGGCACAAGGGATCAGGGCAACGGCGATTCTAGCGTTGTGCGCGAAAGACGACGGAGCAAACCTGGAGTTCTTGAGCGATCTAGAAGAAGCGATGCTGCCGAGACCGTAGAACGAAGAATCGGGACTGAGGCTAGGGTTCCGTTTGGGGCTGTAGCCGCTGGTCAGAGTGGATGAGAGATTTGGAACGCTTATCGAGGACGAAATGTAGGGACGGACCGTCCGCGGTTGGAGCTCCGGCGGCAACATTTTCGCCGGAATTCGAACGGCGATTACGAGGAAGCTTAGCTATGCAGCGCAGCTATACGTGTAGGTCACAGTGAGGGTACCAGGGGGCGGCCCAAGGAGGTGTTGATCTGTGTGCGTTACCAGCGAGGCGCTTTCTCAGTTTCTCTCACGAAAAATCTTATAAATAAATTAAATTAAATGACTAAATATTTGATATATAAATATAAATTATATATAAATATGGGGTCCAAATTTTAAACTTTTATAAAATAAATAAATAGTTAAAAAGCATTTAATTATCTTTTTTTTCTATTAAATATATACAAATTATTATATATATACATCTCTCTAATAAGAGCTCCTAACGGGAACTCAAAAATGTTTGTGTAATTGTTCGTTGAAATGAATGGTTCATATTATTTTGATTTTAGTATTTTTTTTATTATTTTTTCTATTTTACATTGATATACATCAAGATACCGAATGATAATTTGATAAGATTTGAAACACTAATTTAAAAATATGCATTGGATATCAGATTATTCGAGCAATGCACACGTGATAACTAGTATATATACTCCTATATAAGAGTTAATAGTCATACAATTTGTATTGCCCAATGGGTGGCTAAGTGCAATCGTTATGCTGTGCATCCGTATGCACCATGCATGGTGCATACGGATGCCAAAACGACGTCGTTTTATTAAAAAACGCGCGTCTCCCCTTTAAAAAATTTTCAAGTTCGATTCCCAGCAACAACATTATATTATTCATTCATTCTGAAATTTTAGTTCATAGATTATGGAATTATAGTTCATTGATTATTGAATTATAGTTCATCGATTATGGAATTGTAGTTCATCGATTCTGAAATTTTAGTTTATAGATTATGGAATTTTAGTTCATTCATTCTGGAATTTTTAGTTCATAGATTAGATTATGAAATTATAGTTCATCGATTATGGAATTATAGTTCATCGATTATGGAAATATAGTTCATCGATTATGGAATTTTAGTTCATATGTTATTACTGGGAATCGAACCTGATTTTTTTTTTAAGGGGAGACGCGCGTTTTATTAAAACGACGTCGTTTTTGCATCCGTAGGCACCATGCATGGTGCATACGGATGGACAGTATAATTTGCCGGCTAAGTGGGTGTCTCTTTGGTCAAATTATTCCACGAAATAGTTTTAGTATGATTTATTATTTATTATTTCTTCTTCTTTTTTTTAGAAGTGTGATTTGCTTATATTGTGTCAATTATATTATTATATAATAGTGAATGTGCATAACGGACACTCCCCGAGTAGTGGTTATTGATTTTTCTAATTATTTAAATACACTCAAATAATCATATGATTTTAGAATTTGTTTAAAAATATGAACAGTATTTTCTGGCACCTCAAACATGAATTATTATATACTTTGTGCTCAAATGACACCTCTGTGACTCTTCTTAAGGGAAGGTCACATGATTAAATCCCAAGATACTACATTGTAATAGAGTCAATAGTATTAAAAAAAAATAATGATATGATTTTAGGATTTGTTTAAAAGCATGAACAATGTTTTCTAGATTTTTTCATGTTTGGATATTCAAAGAAAATATAGTCAATTAAAAAAAAAAAATCAATCCAATTTGACATATAATAGTGGCAAAGGGAGAGAGAATTGGCTAAGCTGACGCCAGGCGCCAGCAAACCTTTTGTTTTATTATTATTTTTATTATTTTTTTAATATTATTTTTTATTATATTTATAATATAATATAAAAGTGAGATTATGCAATGTCGTAGTATTGCTAGGGATATTGGGAGCGTTACTGTCCGCCATATCCGCAGGTCAGCGAATCACGTGTTCGTCATATCCGTAGATAAGCGAATCACGTGTTCGTCATATCCGTAGATCAGCGAATCACGTGTTCGTCATATCCGTAGGTCAACGAATCACGTGGTTCATGTTATTGCTATGGATATTGGGAGCGTTATTGTTCGTCATATTCGTAGGTCAGCGAATCACGTAACTCATGTTCTTGCAAGGGCAACTGGTTCTGAGTCTGTCCTAGGTTCGTGAGTTTTTTCCCCACATGCTTGTATTTCTGAATTGCTCAGTGCTTAATATATCATTGTTTTGGTTTTCAAAAAAAATAATATGAAAGTGAGATCCATTTTTAAAAGTCGGAAAGATTTGCATTGATATAGAATAAATATAGAGAATTTGCAAATTTGATTATGTGAGAGTGTGACACATTTTCAGAGTAAGAGATATTTACAAGGATAAGGATAGCTAAGTTTGTCAATTCTGTCTCCCTTGCCAATACTCGTAGACTTAAAAAACAATTAAAAAAAAAAAAAAAAAAAAAAAAAACAACAACAACAACAACAACAACAAAAAATCTCTCTTTCTTGCCACATCATTAGCAAGCCATGAAATGCTCTGTCGGGTCGGGGTGTAGGGGGCCCTTAGGGTGGGGTTCAGCCTTTTGGAAGAATGAAATTTCGGGGATGAGGTTAGTCTTATCAAGGGATTAACCTACTATTTGGTACTTTATAATTGAACATATTGACTACTTAGAGATCTAATTGTATTTTTTTTTTAGTTCAATTACCTAATTGCGTTTTTGTATTTAGTTTGATGATTAATTTGAATTTTTTTTCAATATAATAATTTATACATTTTGCTTCATTTATGTACACTTATACATTATTTTCAATCTTATGTTTCTATTTTATTTTTTTCTTTACATATTTGCACTTGGTTTTTATGTATTAAATCACACTTTTTAAATCCACTCCCCATGATCTCTATTGTGTTGGTTAAATCCCGTTAACTACGGAATTCATAAATTTTAGAGTATGTTTCAAAATTTAGAAATCATTTTATGGGTTTCTATGTTTGGTAAAGAGTGAAAAATGTGAGTCAAACGAAAATGAGTGTTTAGTCCAATGAAAATACCGTTATATTCTTGGAAAATGACTTCCTCCCATTTTTTGTGAAGTCATTTTCCAATTTTCACACCAACACCACACCGTCGTCATTGCCACCATTACCACACTACCACCGCCACCATTACCACACTACCGCCAATTATTATTATTATTATTATTATTATTATTATTATTATTATTATTATATTCTAAACAAAAAAATTAAAATGTTTAATTATAAATTTTTACCCAATTTTCGAAAAATAAACTGAACACACCAAGACGGTTTTATGGAATGCAACCAAACACGGGAAATAAAAATATTTTTTTAAATGACTAATTTTCAAAAAGTATTTTCCAGAAGTTAATTTTCAAAGACACCCTTAATTAGGTTAAGGGTTAGGAATTTTTTTTTAATGTCAATTAAATTAAGATTTTTTTTTTTAAAATGTCAATTGACTGGTGTGTATATTTTTGTTTGTAAATTGAAAATTTCCATTTACAAATTTTAAAATTTGTTTCACTTAACTAAAATATTTCAGTTAATCAATTAAATAAAATTAAAAATTTCAATTTACTTAATGGTTAAAGCATCTTGCAAATTCTCTTAATTCGATTCACTTATTAACCGAATATACCGAACCAAATTAGCTTTTTGCCCAAACTGAAAGCTTTAGAAACTCTGTAAAGTGAAAACTCAATCAATCACAGACAAACAGAAAAAGACTAATGGATTTGGAATATTTCTGCAGTTCCTAATTCTATCTAAAGGATGTCTACAATATCAGAGCTTCCTAAACTATCACCTATTCTCCGAGATACAAATATCGATTCCTCATCTTCTACTTGCATATCGTATCGATCTCATTTGGTTGTTCATCGGAGGGCATTCACGAAAGCCAGCAACGAGTCTACATCCCGCTTCTCGGATGAGTACTTGACGGGGCGAGAAGAGTGCTTGGGGAAGAAGAGTATTGTCGGGAAGCTGCCGAGCTGTAGTTCTTGTTGGGCGAAGGATTTCTGCAGACCGTCGGCCCTGAACTTGGCGAGCTTAATGCTCGACCCTGCCAACTTCTCGGCCAACTGAATGTATGGTTCTTCCATAGCCTGCATAGAAATGAATCAATTTAACGCTTGTAATGATGTCTGTAATTGACATTTCTTCCAAAAGGTTGAACCCCAACCCTAAGGGCCCCACACCCCGGCCCGACAGAGCATCTGGGAGGATGTAAATCATGGTAACTCAACTGAACATGGACCACAGAGGCTAGACCTTAGCTTACTAAGCACAAGGAGCCCCCCTCACTTTGAGAGGTTGCTCCCACATTGCCGCTGGTGAGACTCGATCTCTGGTCATTCTTCCAAACTTTCACCTCTATGACCAGTAGAGCTACCCATGCGGGCCTGTAATTGACATTTCTGTGTTAACAGAATGGTTTGATGGCATATTGGGATCAATACCTGGCAAAATCGGCACCAGGGGGCGTAAAGAACAACCATCCACGGCTCTCTCCTTTCTTCGGTTTTCAACATGTTCTCGATTCCAGGCCTGCTTAAGGTCACGATACGCTTGGAGTCTAGAATATCCGCTTTAGTGGCAAGGAAAGCGGCATTCCCGGTGCCATTTAAGCTTCCGTCTTTGATGTTGCCTTTATGCAAACCGCATTCCTTGGCCTTTGCATCTTCCCACCACCACCTCCCGTCTCTCTCGTGTTGCCCGGGCAAGACGGGCCTCGTGCACGGTTCACACCCGATGGAGATGTAGCCTCGGGAATGCAACGAGTTCACAGGCACGTCCATGATTCTGAGGAAGCTCCAAACGTCGTTTCCCTCCATATTCGCCAAAGGGTTCCACTTCACCAAGCTTCCAACCTTCCCCTCGAACAATGGATCTAACTGAACAACTGGAATTTCAGATCGGGTGCCGGGGGATTGATCTTTCCGCTGCCCGGTGATCCAGGCACGTAAGCTCTTCAACGCCCTCCTCAACGGCCTGACTTTCCTCACATGGCAGCATTCCCCGTGGCCATCCTCGTAAAAAGAGAAAAGCCCCTTGTTCCTCACCAAAGCTTGGACTTCAACAGCATCGGGAAACATGTATTCGATATGAATACCATAGCGTTTCTCGATTACATCAAAAAATCTATATGTCTCCGGGTTTAACCTCCCAGTATCAAGACTGAATACTCTAAATGGTCGACCGGTTAGGCATGCATACTCGATCAAAGCAACATC